GGAGCGGCTGGTAGTTTCGAACCGCTGAAAATAATTGTTATTTTGGTAGGACAGAAATGATTGAACATTGACAGTTTCTACAGTTCAATCTTATATCTAGAAAATAGGGTTTGTTTTTCTCTAAGTGCACAAGGGTATATGAAGGGGAATTGACATAAAACCAGTTTTGTTTTGTTTTTAAATGCTGTTGTCAATTATATAAATTATTTGAAAATCGAGTCATTCGTTTAACTTAAGAATGTTATTGTGTGTTAGTGTCTCTCTTAACTGATACTGCCTAAATCAAATAGAGATTTAATTAAGATTACAAGTAAACCATTCCCTTTATATCAAACATTGTACCATTGGTAATCACATTGTAAAGTTACCCCTAGGAAGTAAAATCATCAAAAATTCTAGAAATACTTTGTCTTGAAGGGAATGTATAGTATTTTCAAAATCCGGTTTTCATCTGTTCATAACTATTTGTACTACCGTAAGAGATTGTTGTTGTTAAGTGCTGTTGAGTCTGTTCAGACTCATAGTAACCCTGTATAGGGTTTCCAAGGAGCAGCTGGTGGGTTTGAACCACTGACCTTATAGTTAGCAGTCCAGTGTTTATCCTGTAGCGTCACAACAGGAGTCTATAAGAAATCAGTTTCTTCCTAATTGAGTAATTTATATAGTTTTAGATACAATAATTTTATTAGTGTTATTTTAATTCTTGCAGGTAAGGTCTGCCACAGTATTAGCAGTTATGTGACGGTATTGAAATTACTGAAACTCCTTCAAAATTCTTAAACTCCATTGTTGTTACCATTGAGTCAGTTTTGACTCATAGCAACCCTATGTGTGGCACTGTGGGTTAATGCACCAGACTGCAAAGCCATTTGAACTGCAAGATCGTCAGTTCAAGCTCACCAGCTGCTCCTCGGAAACCCGATACAGGCTTGCTATGGGTTGGAATCGACTCAATGGCACTTCACAACAACACAACAACAACTACCCTATATAGGGCTTCCAAGGGAGAGAGACTGGTGGGTTTGAATCACTGACCTTGTAGTTAGCAGTCAAGTGCTTATCCTACAGTGCCACACCAGGACTCCTTAGAACACTGTGTTGTTGTTGTTGCTATGTGCTGTGGAGTCGGTTCTGGCTCATAGCGACCCTACACAGGGTTTCTGAGGCTGTAAATCTTAACGGGAGCAGACTGCCTCATCTTTCTCCCGCGGAACCGCTGGTAGTTTCGAACTGCTGACCTTGCGGCTCGCAGCCCGATTCGTAACCACTACGCTACCAGAGCTCCTTTAGAACACTGTAGTCATAGTTGTATTGCCAGGAGAAAGGATAGAATACAAAAGACAAGATTGTTGTTAAGTGTTATGGAGTTGGTTCCCATTCATAACGACCCTGTATCGGGCTTCCGAGGCTTTTTAGGTCTTCTGGGGAGCCGAAAGCCTCATTTTCTCCCACTGGGCGGCTGGTGGGTTCAAACCACAGGCCTTATGGTTCACAGCCCAGTACAGTTGTATGGAGACAAGAATAAATACCTGAAAACTATTTAGTCATGGTTGCGGTTCGAGTTGATATGAATAATCTCTTGAATGAACTGAGAAATGACTCTTATCCCACAATCTCTTCTGCCCTCATCTGGTAACAAACAAGAATAGTATTTTCTCTTTGGAAGCATAGCTCCATCATTTCAATTGCTAAAATTTATTTGAAGAATAATCTGTAGAATGGGAGCTGGGAAAAAGATTGTGGTGGGACAGAAAATGGATTTATGCTAAATAATACAAATGGAATTTCAAAGACCAGAACTATATTGTTGAGAATTAAAAGAGAGGAATTCATTCATTAAAGATGGGTTATTGAGCTCTGCTTTTACCGGTAACTTCTTGATGAGTTAAATCATCTAGAAAATTCTTCTACTTCCATTTCTTCTTTTAGAAAGGATAGGGGAAATCGAGTATTTTATTCTGTTTATTTCAGGAAGAAACAGATAGACCCTCTGCTCTCTAATGTGTGAGTCAGTTGCCTGAATTGCTGGCCTGTGTTAGTGATACATTCCCAAAGCAATGTGACGGATATTTCTAGTGGTGATCACTTTACAAATTAAGTCAGTGCCCTTTAGTTTGGAGACTTTTTAACTCTTTAACTTGGAACTTTTTGTTTCTGTATAAAGACTTTTTGTTAAATATTGGAAGTTCATTTCTGAAAAATGTTCTGGCAATGTTTTGGAAACTATTGGAGTAATTTTTTATCTTTCTACTAGTCGATTTTACTGATAGTTTTGTGTGTTTTTTAAATTGTGAATTATGTGATAGTTTACACGTTACTGATAGTTTTTATGGTTCCTGACACAAAGAGTATCTGTTTCATTGCAGTGTAACTATTTTGAACCTTTTCAAAGGAGTTGATATTTTTAGTCAAATGCTTCCGTTGTAGATCTTTGACAAATCCTTTAAAATTTAGACAGCCACATGTTGAAATACTTTTAAAGGATTGTATGTTATATGATTGGAGTTCTGGTATGGTGCTGTAGGCAAAGCACTGGACAGTTAAGAGCAAGTTTGGCGGTTCAAGCCCAACAGCCACTCCTCAGAAACCCTAATTAGGTTGCTATGAGTCGGATCTACTCGATGGCTCTTAACAACAACATGTTTTGATTAGTTATACTTTTCTAGCTAGCACATTTCACTAATCTAACAAGTAACCAGATCCTTGTCACTGAAAATGCCGTGTTTTATGCCATGGTACCGTGTCAGCACAGTGTCTTCCAAACATGAGTGCTCTGGGAGCCAGCCTGAGGAACACAGAGAGGGGTACATGGAATATTGAGTTGTGTCCCCTTAAGATGAGTCCTAGTGTGGTGCTGTAGGATTATACACTGGACTGCTAACTACAGCAAGGTTGATGGTTCAAATCCACTAGCTGTGGCTGCCTTGGGAACCCTATACTAGATTACTATAAATTGGAATTGACTCAATGGCACTTAACAGCAGCAATAAAATATGTGTAGGAAGTCTTAATCTGTATCCCTGGGGTTAGAATCCCATTTGAGAAGAGCTCTTTATTATGCTAATGAGATAGGATTAGCATCAGGTGTTGTTGAGTAGCTATTAGAGATATAAAAGAGACTAAACATTTAAAGGAGTCCTGGTGTGTTGCTGTGGATTAATGCGTCAGAATGCAGAGCCATTTGAACTGCCAGGTCGGTGGTTCAAGCTCACCAGCTGCTCCTTGGAAACTGTATACAGGGTCGCTATGGGTCGGAACCGATTCAACAGCACTTAACAACAACAAAAACATGTAAAGGTGAGAGAGATAGGAAAGTGAGATGCCAAGCCTCCTGAAGATCCCATTAAAGCAGGTGCTCAAAAGAGACAAGGACCTTCTTCCAGAGCCCACAGAGAGAGTGCTTCCCCTTAGAGCTGGCACCCTGAATTCAGACTTCTAGTTTGCTAAACTGTGAGCAAATCAATCTCTGCTTGTGAAAGTCTTCCGATTGTGATATTCCTGTATAGCAGCACTACCTAACTAAGACAGTGGATTGACATAGATCAAGAACTTGATCTGATAATTCTCTAAACTCCCCTTCTGCCCTTGTCCCATCTTCACTTTGCAGAGCCTCTGGCTTCAGAAGGTCCAGCCAGAGCAATCTAAAATCAATCTTCAGGGAACTATAACCTAACCCTCCTCATCCTCACAGAAGGCTCAAGGACCTCTTCTAAATGCTTTCTTTCTAAAGGAACTATTCTATTAATTGATCATTTTCTTTAGGTCGATCTTCTTTGTTTTATATATATCACTGATTTTCATTATGAAGAAAAGACTCTCTTGGAGGGGTGGTTTTAGTGTAAATGATTACAACTTGCTCAAATCTCTAAAATTTAATTTAGTGAATACCATTTAACAATCTCAAACTCACTAAAGTGTACAAACTGTGGCCATATTAGACTGGTGTACTACTGCCTTCACTGGGACACAGCGAAAGTATGGAAATCAATTTAATGTGAAATTAGGATGTGATTGTACACTTTAGAATGTGAATGGGTTGTGAGATGCCCCTAATATAGTTTCTTCTGATGTGATAGATACTGTTTTTTTAAAAAGATTATGTGTGGGCCTTATTGTAAATCACTGGATAGGAGGGCACATGCATGTGACTATAAAAGCCAAGGGTTAACTGCCACTGAATCCCACAGAAGGTTCACAGAGAAGATTGGACTGTCTGTGGGAGGCCAGATTATGGAAGGTCTTAAAAATCAAGCTGAGAGGATGTAAGAGTTTCTCAGGGAAAAGGCTTATGAAAGCACTGTTTCTGGATAGATCTTGGTACGTAAGAAAAATCAACAGGGAAAGAAATGGGAGGCAAATTTGGTTGTATTTGTGTTCCAGGTGTGAATGTAGATTCTCATTTTGTATTAAAGCTAATCTTATTACTTTTTTAAAGTCATATGTATGTGTTTCCCTCATCTAGAGTTTACAGATGCTTCCCCAGCAACGGAAAGCCATAGCAAAGTTTAAGGAACCAGCACATGCATTAGCATTTCAACAGAAATTCCACAGGTAGGCCCTGTACCTCTCTCCGTAGGGAATAACCACCATTTTATTTTATTTTATCTTGATGGACTTGTTACTGATGTGATTACCTTAATAGTGATTGTTTCTTTACATTTCTACAGGCATATGATAGATTTATCCCACATAAGTGTGGCCCTAATTGTTGAGTGATTTCTAATAGAAGAATCTGACCTTATACTATACCAACACTGTGGAATTTCTCCAAGGAGCTCCTGGAACAGAATCCTCAAGATCTTAGACCTTTCCTGTCACAGCCTTGGTAACTGTTGTCCGGAGCTACAGTCAGCAACAGGATTGATTTAAGAAGAGCTGAACTTACAGGACGTAGCCAACTGGAGTTTGGTGTTAGTTTCTTCAATTTCTGTTGTAATGACAAAAAACTACAGTTTTTTTCTTGTCTTTTGTTTTCAAAGTGCTTACGATGCATGTAGACCTTGTTCTTCAAGATCTTACTTGTATGATCGATCACAGTGACTTAGATTCAGGAAAGAACATTAATGCTAAAATCCACAGTTCTTTTCACTGCAAAGAACATTTGATAATGGTTGCACTTATCTTCAGTGCAGGCTAGAAAACCATTTTCTCAGCCAAGCTTCACTTGAGTTGTCTTCTCAGAAAGACCTCAAAAAGTCCTTGTAAAAATGTAGATTAAAATGGGCGATTATTGATTGATATGTGCGTGTCCTGGAAAGCCGAGGTATGAGGCGGGTGGCTGGGAGTGGTGTCGATTCTGCTTCTTGTAAATATTTCCAAAGCGCCAACTGTATGTTCCTAGTTCCAAGGAACCAGTACCTTTCACCAGTATTCCCAAATAAGGCGAAATGCTGGCTAGGTAGCAGTGCCGTTCCCTCAGGCATAACAAGAGGCACGTCGAGCCACTTACCTTGCAGCATTTTGACAAAAGTTCACTAGTGGAGGTCCACATCGTTATCTACTATGTGAGATTGAGGAACAGTCTGAAGGGTTAACTGACCTATTTGATTCTTTCCCCCTCTTTTTAAGTATAGTCCAAGGTGGCAGATTTATGTCATTGGTTTTGTGCTAGATAACTTTCGTTGGGAAACTGGTTATCATTGTTTTTCAATTGTCTTCCCTCCACCCACGCACCCACCCCCTTTTTCTTTGTTTTGAAGACCTTTAGAGTAGGGGATGCGCTGTCCTTCAATGGACCTAAGAGCAGAGTGATACTTACACCTGTATATCATCATTCTTTATGGGAAATGGATGTGAGGTAATGGTTGCCTTATGTGATAGCATAGCCTAAAATAAAATATACATATGTCATCACTGAAACTTCGTTGAGTAATTCCGGGTAGGTTCCTTTAGGTGAGACATTTAATTGTCCACAAAGTAACCTTCAGAAAAAAATTGGGGCAAGCATTGAAAAAAAAGTGCCTTATTGTATTTCTGCTCATGAAAGCGTTTCTCTATTTTAGATATATCTTAATGTGTACCTGACCTATTTGAGCAAATAATACTAGGGCATACTCCAACTTTTGATGCCATATTTTATATTTCAGATTTTATGTCAGATTTATTGACATGATTAATAAAATTAAGGGCAATAGAAGCCTGTTATCATTTATTGCATCTAGCCAACCCAGTAGGGACCAGAATGTGAGTATTGAAACATTCTGTGAAGCAAATGCATTCCTTCACAGCCTTCAGCCCCCAACCGGACTGAAAGGCAGTTCATGCGAACTTGTTTTTTCACAATTGAACTTTTATATTACTTTTCAAATTAAGTGACCAAAACAGATATTGAGAAGTAGAGAAGAGTATTCCAGACCCTTGCAAGTCTGTAGCATAATTCTAAAATAACATCATGAGTTTATGTCCAATTAGAAAGTGAAGGTGGAATAGGAAAGGGCTGTTCTTCAAAAGATGCTGGTTCCAGAAAACTGTAGGCATTCATAGAATACATCAGAAAACCTTTTCTTTGGAAGTGAATTTCATGCAAATAAAATTGGCTGTGGCTGCTGTTGGCTGGATAACTTTGTTCCAGAAAGTTTCTAACTAACACACTTAAAAGATGGTGTTATACTAACCAGGCTGCTACCTGCCTCCAGTCGTTTCCCAAGTAAAAGCTCAGTGTGGTGTGCCCTTTATCTGACTGACAAGTTTTCACTGCCCACTTATTTTGATAACTATATTCAGATATGTTTTTAAGTGTAGATTATTTGACTCAGAGCATTTCATTGAAATAAATTTGGTAGCTTGTAGCTCTAATAAAGAGAGATTAGAACCACTTAGTGTCCATGTTCAGCAGTGAGAAGACTTACAGCTGATGAATTTAATATTATCACTGGTGCAATTAAATCAGTTTAGCAAAATGTTACCAGTTTTTGAAATAGAGTGCTATATGGCTTTTGAAACAAAAAAGGTGAATATTGGCTCTGAAAAGCAGTCATATATTTTATTCTCGCTAGTGATAGCAAGAGTCAGTACTGTTGGAGCACTGTTAATAACAGGTTCACAGCTACTTTAAGGTCTGATTTTGACATTATCTGGGTATGATATGGTACCATGGGATTATGTATGTGTCTGTAACTGTCTACACACATACATGCATTAAGCTTGCTCTTAAGTATAATGTTCTGATCAGCACAGTTGAACTGGGTGTTGGGTAGGATGTTTGAACACAGTCTGGCCTCTCTGAATATGCATAACCAAACAGACTCTTATCAGTATAGACAATCCAAATAATAAAGGTTTAGTTTCCTTGAAGGAAACTACAAAAAAAGAAGCAGAATTAGAAGTTACGTTATTGCCATTTTTGCTACACTTGTAGTAGGTAAATCAGACCACCTTAAACTGAACCCTCTTGGAAGATCTGTTGCAACCATTATCTTTGTTCTTTATTTATCATGCATTAAAATGAGATGCAAGAGCATTTAACATACTATGACTATGTAAATATGGACCTTTTGAAATTAAAATGTTATTGAAAATGCTTTCAGTTCAGCAACATCTTAGCTATTTGTTAGTTTTTTTGTGTTGTCTTATCAAAGTTGAATGGATACAGTTCCATAATTGTTGATGTGTTTGTGTGTATATTCAATTTTTATAAAGATGGTAGTAAGTCAATACATTTATCCTGATCTGTGTATTATTTGTTCACAAATTCAAGAAACTTAAAGCCAGTAAATACCAATATATCTCCTACAGTAGTAAATACAACAGATGATTTATATGGAGGCAAGTTATTTTTCTTTCTTTTTGCGTTATCTTGTTTTGATACTGTGCTGTAATATACAAGTTCCCTTAGCTATTTATCTGCACGTAACTTTGCATTATCATTGGTCTGGATACATTTGTTAAATTATTATAACTGATACTCTTTTAGAGGAGAAATTTCATTTATTTTTCCAAAAGAAATTTTGAGGACTTCCCCCATTTCTAGACAGGTATCATACAAAGTAAGGGGTTGTGTGGGTCCTTGTCTCCTTGTGGAGAAGTTTTGGGGAAGAAATTGGGGTAGGGGAGGGACATTCCGCCATAATTATTTTAGGTTTGGAAGTTCTTTTAATGATTGGTAAAAGTCCTAGATAAACAATTGTTTAAATTTGTTTCTATAGCATTTCTGAATTGTGACCCCCACAGGTCTTTCTCAGACTACGGATTTGCTTCAAAGCCTTCGTTACTTAAGGAGGCTGGGTAAGGTGGTTTGGTCACAGGGGAAGGAGGACTAGTAAAAATGGGGAGCGGAGTCTTGTAGAATGGAGAAATGCTAATACAAGTGTTAATAAACTTTCTTCTAAAAAACTGACTCTTTAAGAGGAACCCTTCCAATTACATAGAGAATTAGGAAGGACAGTACATGTGGGGTGGGTGTGGGTGGGCAGTGATGGGTGTGTTCTTCAAGGTTGTGGAAAGCTTCCTTATAGAGTTAAAGCCATTGAGGGTAGCTCCCTTATAGAGTTAAAGCCGCAGAGACAGCTCTCATTTAGTGAGTGGTGAAACTCTTAATAATTATAATGAGGGCCTGAGTGGCTCATACGGAATGTAGGAAAATAACCTAAGACTCTGCTGTGATCCTTTCTCATAGGATTGGTTTAAGATGTACCCCTCGCCCCCCCCTTTTTTTTTTCTTTTCTCAGTTTTGGTTTTTTGTTTTCATTTCTTTGAGATTGAATGAGAAGGTAAGACTGACATGCTCACAGTCCTTTGGATGACAGCTGACTTGTTGAAGATAAATTACATACTAGTAGCTAGTGCAGACAAGAAAAGAAATCTGTGTGTTGTCGTGACTGTTGTGTTTTTCTGGTGTGTCTTAGTGTTTGTTAGAAGTAGCTGTGGCTGTTCTCCCCTACCCCATATTCTCACTGGGGTTAAAGGCCCAGTTAGCCAGCAGCCACCCCCAGTGCAGGCTTTGTAGTGCTGGCAGGGAGGGCTCTGTGTTTAGTCACTGTTACATCGCCAGTCCCAGTCATCTACTTTCTTCTCTTCGTCCCTTCTTACCTTGAGGATTCCTTATAGGTTTCAGATAACTCATTGTGAGAGCCAGTTTCACTTTATTGCTTTCATGTAGACTCCCTCCACCTCCAGTTTTTTGTTTGTTTGTTTGTTTGTTTGTTTTAATTTGGAATGAGAAGCAATGGGGACAGAAGAAGGCTGGTGGGAGAGAAAGAAAACTTGGAAGGTATTGTTGGTTTGTTTCTGAGGTAGTTTTGTTTTTTAATTGAGACTAAAAAGAAATTAAGAGGTGGGAGAAGAAGATAGGAATGGGGAACAGGAGCCCCACCATGAAGGGAACCACTAGGAGTTTTGATCAATAAAGAGAAAAATGTAGGATTATTTACTGTATTTAATGAGCATTTCAATTGACCTTTCAGCTATTTTTATAATTTGTGAATGAAGTGTTCTTTTGGACATTCTTAAGTATGAACTCTCCAAGGCATTTAGCCTTTATCTAATATTAAATCCTAAGGATTTTATGTAAGGTTTTTTGAAACCGACTTGATTTTTATCATTTAAAATACCTAACTTCTTAGGTACATGAGCCCATGGTTTTGTGTACTCGAGCCAAAACAGTTAAAACTCCCGGATTCATATTGGATCCTCAGGTAGACCGTGTTCCGGTATCATATGGTTGGGAAGGATCATTTGTTTTAGACTTTGTAACCTACCTTTTGTAGAAAATCTTTTAA